CATCTGATTCTTCAACAGAAGAGTCTGTATCATATATTGGCTCATGATTTATATCATCTGTATCACATATTGGTTTGTGACTTATATCATCTTGATCATTCTCGATTATTACTTCATTTATTGGTTCATCAGTTATAGTGTAAATAGCTTCTGTATAGCTGAATAATTCTATAACTAAAAAAGACATAAAGAATTATAAGTTAGCATGGAGTTAATTATACTATGTACTTACAACTATTTAAAGGCATATGTATTATTTACATTCACCTAATTTTATTTTCTTTTGCTTCCACCTTGAGTTTTAAAGTGCTTACGTTAATTGCACTTGCTGTCTATCGAGATAAAACCAGAAAATTTTATATATATATTCAAGTTCTTTCATGTTACTTGTGCCGATTTATCTGAACAAAGGAGAGGTTTGATTACGCATATGATTGAACTTCTATTTATTTATTTACATTAAATCTCTGATTACTTCTTATATCAGTCAAAATATACTTACGTATGTGGATACGTATGTATAAAAGTATATGCATAATAGAAATCTGTATTATATAGCACATTATTACTAGTGATTTCAACTCTGGTTAATCATAATTATTCTCTTAAAAATTTACAAATTTTTTTAAAAAGTATAAATATTAATATGTAATTTTATAATTTTTTGATACTTTAGAAAAATAGAAATTAGAAACCTAAAGTAATATTTATTAATATAAATATTTAAAATAGTTTATTAATTATTTAATCTTTAAGTATAACAAACATTTATAGATTTAAATATTTAAAACAAATTATTCATTATTTAAATCTTAAACTATTTATATTATATTACATAGTGCTTTAAGTTGATATAGCATTAGTTAACAAAGTTAATTTTTTAAAATATTGGCTTAACTAACTATTAAGATATAATAATATAAATTCTATATATTAGTATTAATATAAAGATAACTATTTATTTAATTAATTGTTATATAATATGATATATTACTATAATTAGTATTATAAATTATCAAACTTTAATTCATTCAATTTTTTTGAATACAATTTAGAATTACAAATAGACTACTAAGTATCAAAAATGCTAAATTAATTTTTAAAGTAGGCATTGTGATTTCTTTAAAGGCTTAACAAATACTAAAAATTTAATTAAAAGAATAAAAAACAAGAAAATCAAAAAAACACTTTTAACTAAACAACAGGTAATAGCTTAATTTTTAGTATTCAGTTTATTATTATTAGATGAAACTGTAAAAGTTATAGTATTAGCAAAGAATACAACTAGATATCCAAAAAATTTTTATAAAACTAAATAGCTTATAAGAATTTGAAACCAGTTTATTTTTATATAGAGTCTTTGTCTTGAAAATGATCTTATGAAGTACAGAATATAGTAATTCCTATTCTTTATAAAGTTATTTTCAAAGCAAAAACCTATATATTAATTTAACTAAAACCAAATATAATATATGAAATTCTAATCTAATATAAAAAGTGAAATTGCATATTGTTACAGAATAATAAAGCAATTTCAAGAATAAAGCAAATATAACAAATTGTTAATTTAAATTTGTTGATATTACATAACATTACTCAAAAGTAAAATAAGATAATTATAATTTGGCAATAGCTAAGATGGCTTGCAAGTAGGTTACTGAGTAATGATAAAGATTTATCTAAAGATGTTTATTTTTATTGGCATTTTTAATAATTTATAAACTGTTTTATTTATAATTCTTTATTTTTAATTACAGAAACAGGCAGAAAAGTTTTTTTTTTCTTAATATCAAAAAGGACTTTTATAATAAATTGTCAGAAAAGTATATTGAAAACATTTTTCTTTTCTCTATACTAATGTTTCCTTTTTCTTTTAATTGCACAATTTCATTTTTTGATTTATGTTTTTTTCTTTTTATCAAATTCTTTGTTTTGTAAGTCACATCTATAAAGTTACAGTCTCATAATTCAAAATGTCTTTGTAGTACTAAAGCTTAGTTGCAAGTCCAAAAAGGTAAGTTATTTTCATCTTTTTTCTTGTTGCATATTGTGATGATTTTATGTACTAATTCTTTCTTCCTTTTTAGATTAGTTACTACTTTTTTTTGTAGAACTCCACGTATTATAGTAGACTAACTTGTTCTGAATCTTGAAGTTTCTTTTGCATACAATAGAAAAAAACTAGGTTATATGATCACTAGTTCTGGGTCATGATTCAGATTGCACTTCCAGTTACATTTTCAGTCATGTTTCAATAATCACTATACTACAACTCTAACCAGGTTTCTCTTTAATAATGCAAATCTCAATAATTATGTTAATTATCTTTATTCTTTATTATATAGTGTAGTTGACTATGTATTTATTATCTACAAGTGAGCTTATTATTGAATTCATATTCATAATGATATTTTTATAATTTTTAACTAATTTTTTAACTATTTTGTTATAAAAAATTAATAAGGTACTTTTATAAACTGATTCATTTTGTAAGCTTTTTTCATGTAGTTTAATTCTTTTTTGTAGGTTCTGATTTATTTTACTAATAACTATTTTACTAATAAGTTTATTTTACTAACAACTATTTTATTCTAACAAGTTTTTTTCACTAATTTCAACTCTAATTTAATATGACCTTAATAAAAATAACAAGAATTACTTTGTTGAACTGTTGGTGAAATAAACTTGTTGTTAAATTGACTGTTAATGAAATAAATTATCAGTAAAATAATTATTAGTAAAATAGATTCTGGTTTATTTCATCAAAAATCAGATTTAGTAGAATTCTTTGATAATACAATTTATTTATAAGGTTTTTTTTATAAATTATATTAACCTTAACTCTAATTCTAACCTAGTTCTAACAATAATAACCTAAATTACTTTGTTGATCAAATGATTATCAATGCATTGTATTGTCAATAAAATGAACTTGTCAGTAAATTGATTGTTGGTAAATTGTACAGTTGGTAAACTGATTGTCAATAAATGAATAGAACCTTTTTGTTAGTTATGTTTGCAAGTAATAATTATTGCCTTCATTTGGGATCATCTGATTACACAATAATGATAACTTTATTACTTTATTGGTATTAATTGTCAGTAAAATAAATATTAATAAAATAACAGTTAGTAAAATAATTGTTAGTAAAATAATTATCAGTAAAATAATTATCAATAAAATAATTGTCAGTAATATAATTGTCAGTAAAATAATTAGCAGTAAAATAATAATTAGTAAAATAATAGTTAATAAAATAATAGTTAATAAAACAATAGTCTGTGAAATAACAATCAGTGAATAAAGATCTGTGAAATAATAGTCAGTAAAATGACAGTCAGTAAAGTAAAGCATTGGTAAAATGAATTATCAGTAAAAAAACTGGTAGTAAATTAAAGTGTAAATAAAACAATTGTTAATGAAATAGGAGTCAGTGAAATGTATGTTAATAAATTTACTTTGTAAATAAAATTAACTGTCAACAAAATAATTGACTATAAAATAATCTTTTTAGCAAATAAATTGTCAGCAAATTAGGTGTCAAAAAAATAATTTTTAGTAAAATAACCCAGATCCATAAAGATACAGGCACAACCTCATCATTAATATTAAAAAAAAAACAAAAAAAACAAAAATAGAAATTTAAAACTTAATTGAAATCAACAATCTTAAATAATATTAATATTAATATTAATAAAAAGAATATATTAAAAACTTTTAAGTGAATTATTAAAAAAGAAATGCATAATCTATTTTATTATAGAAAAAATGCTACTAGTGTTAGAGTGTTAGTTAATTTAGTATACTTTTATATTATATTTGATCATAATTTTAATTTAATAGAAAATTTTTTTAGGTTAATAATGCTACACTTAGATAGTCCTAAATTATGTATGTACTTATTAGCATCAATATATGAAAATTTTATATAACATTATAATATGTACAATTATGTAGTCATATCAAAATCACTATTTAGAATAATTTAAAGATTATTAATTAAACCTAGCACCAATTAAATAATACATTGTAATATTAGAAAATTTTTGTTATGTTATTTTTAGAATTACATCTTCTCAGTAAATGTTCAGAATTTTGAAAAAGTAAATATACTAGTTAATGCACATAATTATTATTTCAAACACTTGTTAAAATTTTAACACTTAAGTTATTAAATAAGTTATTTACAAAATAGTCATTTTAGAATATCAATATATTATAAAAAAATTAAAATTTTAAATACAAAAGATAAAATCCTCATGATAAATTAAAAAGCATATTTTTTAAACCTATTCTATATTTTTTTCTTTAAGTACAAATAATTAATACTGTTAGGGGAATCGAATTTTAAAGACTTATCACTTTCGTATAGTAAATTACTATTAAAAAATGATTTTTGTTTGTGTAATGGCATGATCATGTAAAAAAGCACACTTTTTAAATCTATCCTATATTTTTTTCTTTAAGTTTAAATAATTAATACTGTTAGAGAAATCAAATTTTAAAGACTTATGATCATATAAAAAAATTGCAAACACCTCACCGTAACCATATTAATTTGCCAAATGATGTAACAACATGGTATACATTATCCAGTGCATGAAAGATTTCTCTAAATGCATGTCCTTGTTTGTCTCCAACTCATGGCACTTATAGATTTTTACCTTCCTCGATGCAATACCTCTCTAAATGCAACTTTTTTGGCCGCCTATGGCTATGCATTTAGAAAGGTCTGGTTGTATTTGTTTAATTAATATCAAAAAAAGCAACTTTTGAATTTATAAGTTTTTAGGTTATGATAGTCAAGTCTTACGCTGGGAATATAGTCAGACAGTAATTGAAATCAGTGGCTTAACCTGTCACAGATGCTAATTACTTTATCATAGGATATCTATTTTATTTGTTCATTTGTGTGTCGTGTTGAACTAATTATTTGTAACATAATGTATTGGTGCATTTGGATGAGGCTGTAATAATATGTATTATAAATAAAGCTAATATGAAAAATCTGGATATGTGTGTAAAGTTATGCGATAAACATAGTAAGAAGCAGTGAAGGAATGAATGTAATAAACACCTTTAGCAATTATAAAGTATAAACTTACCTATTCACTTGTTTAAACATTTATTGCATTTAACAACAAAGATTATAAAGACTTATATAATAAATAACTGGAACAGGCTAACGATGATTATACAGTCATATAAAAAAAAAAGGACATCAAAATCGTTCGTAATCCAAAGAATTACTGCATTAAATAATTCAGTATACATGTTATATAAATATGCAAGTTAAGCCATTGTTATATTGGACAATATTGGATTTCCAGACATGCATTATTGTTTTCAAAGGCTGGCAAAAAATTTTCAAATATTTAATAACTAATCATTTCATCATCAAAATATTAGTATAATTAAGTTGAAAACACAATCAGAAATTTCCATCTTGAATTTTACGTCATTTAATTTATTATTCTTAAGTTCTAAGATGAATTCATTAAGAACTGAAGAATTACGAATCGATGTAGATGAAGATACTTTACATAGAAAAAAGCAAAATATAATGTGTTGCATGGAGGAAAGAAAATAAGTAAATATGTATTTTCACCAAACATGCAATATATTGTAACCTGGAGTAAAGAAGATCAATCAATTGTCAGATGGTCCATCACAAAAGAATATGAAGAACTTAAACTCACATTTGACAATTCAATAAGCTCTGAAGAACTCAAAACAATTGTTTTAATAACCGGTAAACAGATGGTTAAATTTATGGTGTATGATTTAATAGGAGTTTCAAACTGTAAACAAATTATTATACTTGGAACAGATGGTTTTGGTTAGTTAAAATTAATTAAAACACAAATCTTTTAATTCTAACTATATATTTAACAAATTTATTTACAGAAATTGTTGACATTATAACTAAATTGAGACAAGAATTAAATGCACAAGGGTTAGATAGATATATATGGGGTAATGAGAGTATTAGCTTTCTTGAAAATGATGATCTGGCAATTGTCAAAGGACTCCCCATTTTTCGGGCTTATATCTTTTCAAAGTTTCATGGCAAACAACAATGGACATGCAAGAATATTATTAAACTTAAAAATTTTACAAATTCATTTATTTTTAAAAATGAAAAATTGCTATTAGTTTTTGAGGTACCCCTTGCAATCATGCAATGGAATTTAAAACTCTGAAGCTTGAAACTCAGTATATATTAAATTGGAATTTAGATCCAGATACTGTTAAATTAGAAATGAATGGTGATAATAAATTGTTAGCTGTAGCTGATGATAGAGTAAATGGGGAAACATTAATCCATATTTATTCAACAGAATCTGGTGCTGTAGTAGCACAATGTGAGTATTCTATAAATATATAAGTTATTTATAAATAAGAAAATATTAATTTTATTTAAAATTCAGGTTCATTTAAAGAAATATTGCACAATTTTTGCTTTATTGAATCAAAAGAGGAGCAACTGTTTTCTCTGGCCCACAAAATAATACAGAAAAATATAACTCTTATATATTGAATCCTCACACACTTATACTTCAAGATACTAAAATTTTTTTACATATTTATTCTCCAACATATGAAAATTTTGAAGAATATCAACATAATATCATCTCTGATTTTATTATAAATCTTGATATTAAAGATTTGTCGATTCAAAGATTATCACATAATAAAAGTTGGAAATTTCAATTACAAAATCAAGAGCGCTATGTGAGTAATACATTTTTTAACATAAAAGAAGTTAACCAATTCGTACAGGATACCTTAGAAAAATGTGAGTCAGATTAAATTTTAACTCATTATTCAGATGAACCTAAAAAATTACCCTATGGAGATTCATACACTTGGGTTTTAAATATTATTCCATCTGAATATATTAACAAATATCATCAAACAGTTATAAAGGCAATTATTTGTGAGAAGTCAACTAATGAAGAATTTATTGTCACATCTGCGAACAAAGAAGATAATTACATTTTAGAATATAAATTGCTCGAAAGTGGAGATATGATATTTATTTACTCTAAAGTCATAGAAATTTTTACAATAAATTCTCAAACAAAAACACTTAGCATGATTTATTTTTTGGACTGATGGATTTAAAGAAGAAAAAGAAACTGCACATCAATCAACTAAAAGACAAATTACTTTCTTTATTGAAAAGATCAATAAATCAAATTTGAAATTTTTACCACCTCAACTTACCTTTGGTTCTGGATAGATAAAAATATAAATAACGAACTGATTTTGAAATTATATGGAAAAGATATATTATATCAACTAGTTCAAAATGACAGTGAAGATTATATTTTGAAATTATTTGCTAATTGTTTAAACTATAGTTTTTCAGCATTTAAGAGTGGTGATATTTACAACTTTATGTTGTTTACAAGTCAAATTACTTCTGTGCTGATAAAATTAGAAGAATATAATAAAAATTTAAAATTTACCGAAAGATTTTTATCCAAAATTAATTTACTGGTACCTGATAACTATATATAATTATTCTATATTATCTCATCTTCAGCATTGTGGAATTTATGATCATACGTCTTTATCTACAGTTTCATTATTTCATTACCTGATTTTTTGGATCTCTGAAAAATGGAACCTTTTAGAAAATAAATACCCCAAAATTTGTAAAATTTTAATATCTCCTTCTTTGATTTATTCAGATTATTTTACTAATTATTCACAAAAAACCATAAAGTTAATGATTCCTTTATTAAATTTTGTCACATATCCTGAAGATTATTCTTATTTTGAATTATTTCATGTATCAAATAATTCCTTTACTTTACTTGATACGTCCGATTATTATAAATGGTGGAATATTAAAGCCCTTATTAATTTCAAGTGGAACACTTATGGAAGATGATATTATTTTATAATTTGGACAATATATTTAATTTTTATGTGTTTTTTAACAGTTTCAACAATTCCAAAACATACAATTCCTTGGCATTATCAAGCAATTCTTTTGATATCAACTATTTTTTTTGGATTTATTCATCTTATTTTCGAAGCTCGTCAATGTATTCATAAATCAATGTATTATGTTGCTAGTCCTTGGAATTGGTTTGGTATATATATTTAATTTAATAATTAATTTAATACAGTTATATGTGTGTTATAATATTGAATGTTTCTAATTATATAATTTAATTCACTTAACTTTATTTATAAATCTTGCTGCAATACTAGCTCCAATAATAACTTCATTCATATGGTTACATGATGAAAAACCACAAATTTGGATTGTGACTATTGCTTCTTTTTTACTTGAAATTAAATTCTTATTATTTTTCCGTGCTTTGGAATATTTTGGAACATATTTTGCAATTATGATTGGAGTAGCATAACAAATCTTTTCATTTCTTGTTGTTTTAGGCATTATGGTTTTAGCCTTTACCCATTCTTTACATCTTTTATTAAGACCTACCAGTGAATATTCTTATGATCAGCCAAGTAATACTGACGATGCTAATAATCCTTGGAATCTTGTTCCGACATATAAATTTATTTCATCCAATGGCATTGTTGGAGAATCATCACTTATTGAGACTCCTGATGATAATACAAATTTATTTACGATGTTTAGTACTTCTATTTTAGCAGTATATTTTATGCTAACAAGTATTATGCAATAATAATTTAAAAAAATTTATTTCAAAAAAAATTAAAAATTTTTTTTTTTTTACTTTTAGGTGATTCAAGTGCAGTTTCTTCGTGGGGTTTAGTCAATAACTGGATTTTGACATTTTTATTAGTTATATTTTCATTTTTCACAACAATCTATTTGTTGAATTTGTTTATTTCATTACTTGGAAATGCTATTAATCAGACATATAATGAAGAGTCTTTTTTATGGTTAAGAAGAGAAGTAAATTGTTTGTTTATTTTTTATAAATGTATGTTGTAAGCTTGTTATAACTTTTAATTATTTTATACTAAATATTAGCTGAAATTGAACTTTTTTGGATGCTTCCCAATCAAAGAAGAAAGAAAAACTGGTTTCCAGAAATTTTGTAACAATTATTATTTATTCATGTTGCAACTATTATGCATATACTAAAATATCGTTTAAATGTTTAGTTATTATGAGGCGTCAGTTCATGAACTTAAAAAATATATAAAAATCTTGAAGATGAGCATGAAGATGAAATTTTGCAAGACTTACTTCCTGCAATTAAAAATTTATTGAAACCAAAGATACAACTGAAGATTTGGCTGAAACCAAAGATACAACTGAAGATTCAGCTGAAACCAAAGATACAACTGAAGATTCAGCTGAAACCAAAGATACAACTAAGGATTCAGCTAAAACCAAAGATACAACTGAAGATTTAGCTGAAAGCTGGCCCTATGATCTTATTGTGCAACATTTACTTGAAACCAAAGACTCAACTGAAGACCCAACCAAAGACTTAACCGAATACTCAACCAAAGACTTAACCGAAGACTCAACCAAATAATCAACTGAAGGCTAGCCCTATGACCACATTTCGCAAGAATAAAAATTAACAAATTACTTTTTAAATGTAGTAACAATAACTAAGGAATTGCACATAGGATATTATAATTAATTGATGTTTTAAATAAGTAAGAAGTCATGAGCAAAAATCACATTACAAATAAAATATCATTAATAATTTAGTGTAAGGGGGTTTTCGGACATACATATTTGATATTCCCTATCATTTAAAAATAAAAAGTAAATAACATTGTTATATGATGCTGTATTTGAATATAATCAAGCATGACTCAGGATCTCAGAAGTCAAGCCATGAAGTTAAAGTTTTAGAATTAATATAGTTCGGTATTATGCTAACTTCTTTAAAACAAAAAGTGATCTCGATCATCTTCAATAAAAGAGCCCTACAACCCCAAACTAACTGATCACATAACCAACCAACTACAACCCATGACAGCCGTGAAACCCAATTATCAAGCATTAGCCCTTGCATTGTCTACTGCGGCCGCAGAGGCAGAGTTTAAATTGGCATGCACAGGATGCATATGTTGAGAAAATGTGAGCCGAGTCGGAAAAGTTACAGGGCCGATATAGGATAACTTACTATAAACACTAATACTAATTACTATGCTATCCAGAACACTATAACTAATATAATCAAACCCTAATAGTGGTAAGGCTTCGATTAAGAAGTAGAAAGATATGATCCGTGTAACTAGGGTTAATATGGTCTATAGCGTTAGTGGTAGCTTCGGATAAGTACTTTTATTGGTTCTGGTTTAGTAATTCGGTTGCTTCATACTGTTTTACTAATACTTGACAGCTTTTGTTAAGGTACTATGGTTATGAATTTGGTTCACGGGGCACGGAGACACGATTCAACTAGAACGTCAAATTTTAACGACCCAAGGGAAGCGTATGTTAAGGAACTTAGTTAGGGACAAACACTTTTACACTGATTTCGAAAGTTTTAGAATTCTACGAATTGTTTTTTAGTAAAGGTAAAATCGATTACTTATATACTTTTAATTACATATAATAATAAATTCATTAAATTTAATTAATTTCTTTGTTTTACCCTTTTGCTTCTATTTTTATCATTTTCTTGAATTTTGTAATTCCATTCCATTTAACAAATTTAACAAAATTTAAATTACTGCGCCACGCGGTTTGCTCATCATTTGTAAATTCGACTTTATGAGTTCACGCATTCAATTTGTCGGTTTAACTTGTTATGAATTTTTTTTTTTTTTATGCATAACGATAATCTTTATGATATCTTGTTGGATCAGGTATTTTTCTAATACTATGATTGCAAATCATCAGAGAACGAGTAAGGACTATTATATGATTCTTAATTGTCGTATTGCTAATTCAAGGACGTTTGGGCAACAGAGTAATCTATTTTTCATTTCGCTATCTCTCGCCATATAGTGAAGGCTTACTATATCGTCCCATCCATCCGCCCAACTCTTAGTAATTAATAAACTAAGGAGATTATATGATGCTTGTTTAGTAAGTTTTAATGGTATTAGTTGGCACTAGTAGGCTCCACGTAGTTTTTAAAATTCAATAAAAATCACTTGCACAAATATATATTTTATATATTTTGTGTAGATTCTTTTAAAAAGTTTACTTACACACTTATTAAATTCTTAAAAAATCTAAAAACAATTCCTGCACGTTGTAGAAGTCATCTAATCTTGCAATAATGGTCTCCTTATCAATTCTTTGACAAATTTTTCAATTTAAAAATTATTGTCATGAAGTCAAAATCTCTAAAAATGCATTGTTCGGGATCATAGGACGAATTTCCAAAAATTATCATTTATGAAAAATTTATAAATTAGTACGATTATAAAAGTCTCACTATAGCTATTAATATTAAGGATCCACCGCACATTTATTGCATAGCACCTAAGTTCAATAGACATTGCTACAAGTATCTTGGTAGTTACCAGAGATAAATTGGATATATAACAGATATGAATATAAAGAATCTAAAGGATATAAGGGACAAAAAACCTTTCGACGATTTAATGGGCATAAATAAACCACAAATTTGTCCAAAAATGAAAGCATGCTTCGACTTAGACGTAAAAGCTGTACATGAAGTAATGCGCATATGAAACCCTATTGTTCTTTCAATAGATTATCTGAGTTGAATTTGTTTGTTTTGATTGAGGAAAGACCAGTCTTGAGTTCACAATACACACGTTAAATGTAGAATAAAAAGCACTTGAGCTTTATAATTCTTAATTTTTCTGCACTTGAATCGAACTAGTCAGAACCCTCTCGAAGTCAAAATTAGGCACAACTACGGCATCATTAGATTTTTAGCATGTAATCCGAACTTTTGTGAGGTTGCGCTAACTAATTCCACTTGAATTACGAGTTCTTTAACAACCATGCTACAGTATTATTTCATTTCTTATATTTTATGTCGTAAGCGGGAATGAAATTTAAGTGCGTTTGGGTTAAGGTGTATATATGATAAAATCAACCCCAAAATGCTGGTTTTATTCCATGTATACTCTTGTGCGAATTTCCATAATAGTAAAATTTTAGAGCTCTTATGCCAATGCAAATTTAAATATACGTACTAAACTGATTTATTTATCATATAATATTTACATAATGCATCGTCGCATTTTTTTTTTTTTTTTTTTTGATATCTGGTCGTAGACGATAATTCCATCAACATAGCTTTGTTTATTTCAACCTTTTTACATCATCTTATTACAGTGAACAGTGGACTGAAATGGTATGAATTTATACAACTTAATTAGGAGACATTCATAAATATTAAATATAAATTAAATATAAATTAAATATAAAGTGCTGTTTTATACGTACAGTACGCATGTACATTTATATTTAATACCTGATACGTATCGATATTACATTTTTAATCGCAAATTTTAATTAAAAAAGAAAGTTATACAAATTATAAACTTTAAGTTTTTTTTTATATATATTGCGAAATATTCAAAAGAAAGAAATTAAGGTTTGTTATAAAACTAAACTATTTTCATAAATTTAATCATTATATTATTTTTGAATATATCTTTTTTTTAATTATTTTTAATATTACCAAAAGTGTTCTAGATAATTCATTACTCATGAATAAATTCATAAAAAAATTTTTAAAAAAAATTATTAACTAAATAGCAAATTTTTTGCTTGAGAAGGCAATATATTCTTTTATTTTCATTGTAGAATCCTTTCCAAAAAGTTTTAATAAAATCTTATTTATAAAATAATCATCATCTTGAACATTTCCTTTTTGATTATTTTGATTTAAATCGGTTTTTTCATTAATAGATTCTTTAGTAGATTTTTGAAAGTATTTGTTTTGAATTTTAAGAAAATAAGGATTTATAAATGTAGAAAATAATGCTTGTAATGTTAAAATACAAGATAATAAGATGCTGAGAATTTTCATAATTAACAGTTTCATTTTTTAAAATTATAATTATAATTATAATTATATTATTATTATTATCGTTATAATAATTATATTTTTTAACCTTAATTGATTAATTCTTATTATTATTGATGTTAATAATTAATCGTTGTTAGTTACGAGTTATAGACAAAATTTTTCTTGTTCATGAATTCAAGATGAAGTTGGAGTTCGAGTTGATTTGCACGATTTATATGATATTTAAGGTTATATACCTTGACTTTTCTACTAATGTCGATATATATTTCAGAAAGGCTTAGATTAGTTTTATGTTTAAACGGCTTAGCGTTAGTTCAGGCGTATATAAATAAAATTGATTTTATTTTGAAAATCAATGGCGCAATGAACCAAAGTTCCCTAATTGAGAATAGATTAAACATAGCGATAGTACATAGTATATTACTATCGTTATTTTTTATCCACGATTTTCGCGAACTGTAATGTTTTGTTTTTTTGTTAAGGTGGCACTCTTTGATCGCAGGCTTTATTAGTTCTACTTCTGGTACTTAGACTTTACTACAAGTGGGCTTACCGTTACATGTTTGGAGAGTACAACTAGTTACATGTACGATTTTTGGTTGTCAAAATTAAGTAGTCCACCATAGGTTCTACACTAGTTGTCATACCTATAACCTAACTAGAATTATTTTTCCCTCGAGGCATACCTACCTGACAACCAAAGTCTCATATCTTTGGTGGTTTGACTTTCAACCCTCCTTTTCCTCCGGTGACGATAGATTTTCGGTCGTTCAATTCACATGTCTCACATGGTTTGTTTCTTGGGTCTAGTCTTTACAGTAGTACCGTCATAAGTTTGTGTTACCTCTCTACTCAGGATTTGCAAGTGGGTTTCCGTCTCCTTGGTTTCTTGGATTTCTACGTTCAGTGTTCTTATCTTTGTATTCCGTGTAACGTTTTACGAATGCCACGAACTTCTAGTCTTGCTGGTACGACCAAGATTACACCCAACCGATCGACAGGAGACAGTAGAAACGTCGGCTGTCACTTGGGGATGACAACTTGCCAACTACAACTGCATTAAATCGCCACACTACTAAATGATTAACAGACAAATTTCATTATGTATCACAAGGTAATTAGTTGAAAGTTTTCTTTTGATCTTTTTAAATTCATTTAAATTCATATATCAAATTGATCTTAAACCAATATTCATGTAAATTAGAATCAATTCAATATATTTCACATGTGTCTTTAGGCTTAGTGCATGGTTGTACGACAATAATATTATACGTAGTTAAATCATATAAATCTATTTCCCATCTTCATGCAGAAGTACAAATAATAAAACCACGCCTTCGTTAATTATTATCACTAATACTCTGATATATTTTTTTTTTGTGGCTATGTGATAAATATGTTTTATAAATTAGGCAATTTCTTGATTTTATCGTTATGTACATGAAAAAAAAAATTTTAAAGCGATATGTTGGAATCATAGAATTGTTATACGTAATATTTAGGTCAAATAATGAAATTCAGAAGCCACTATATCTTATGTAAATATTTGAAGACATTTTCGAATTATAAAAAGCTACGAACTCTGAAAAGAAGAACGCAAGATTTAAGAGTATTAAAAATAATTAATAATTAATAATAATAATTAAAAAATTAATAATAATAATATAAATGGATAAATACATTTTTATATCGTTATTGATATTGATATGCTTTTCACTTTTTACAATTCAAAGTGAACAAATTGACTTACCTGCATTGCGTAAACGTGATGATTCAATAATGCGTAGATACGATGACATACCACTGACTCGTTAAGATTGTAAAATTGCGAGTTGTCTTTTATGGGTGTTTTTTTTTCTTTTATGGTTTTTTACGGTATGTAACTTCTATAAACCATTATCTATATTCTATATTTGATAAATATGTACGAAAATATTCGTTAACTTTTATTTTCTTTTGCGATAATTATAATATTTCAAAAATAGACGTTACAAACTATAAGTGGATGTAAATTCAGCTTAAAATTTACCGACATGAAATTGTAATGCATTTAATTTCAAAAGCTTTCATAAATTTGTTTATACAAAAAGCACGACAATAAAATATCCAAAGTCATGTCGCATATAAATACTTTGTGTTAACACTTGTTTTGTAACAATAAAGAGAAAGCCAGATAATAATTATTGAACTGTAAAGGTTGTTTTGTTGCATAACCATAGTTTGGTTGAGATATTTTTTATTGTCATTATATTGAAATATTAGTAAGTATTTAAAAGTTAAGGAGGCAAATGTGCAACTTGTAATAAAATTATTCTTTTTTTTTGATATATAAGCGCACTAATTTGTGTGGTTTTTACAGTGCTGAGACAAATTAGAAACATTAAGTTATCATTTAATAAGTCATAGAAATATAACCGATACAGTAGTAATTTATTAACAAAATGTTGGATTTGAAATACATGATTAATTATAACAACTTCTCTCTATAGATATACTTTATCAAAATTTAATATTTGCGTATTTAGATAATCATTAACCTATCCTCTATTAGCTTCAGAAAAAAAAAATTTTCATCAGCCTTATTATATCACCATTTACGATTATTTTACTTTTCATTAACTTCTTTTTTGATGCTTTTTCTTTTCAGCTTCTTTAATTAATTCTTTTTCAAGTATATATTTTTCATATGCACTTCCATGAGATGTACTTCTACTTTTTCTAAAGTATCTTCCTTGGACTTGTAGGAAATAGAAGATCGTCGAGATAGTAAACATTCCTTGAAATATTAGAAAGTAGATTATTTGTGTATCGGTAAATGGTTTATCGGAAGTATTTGACATTTTATTTTTAATATAATGAAAATTTCTTCGTTTGGTGTGATTTGTGATTTGATGAAAAAAAATTTGAATTTTTTTTTCAATGATATTTTATATATATTTTTTTTTTAATCTATAGAAAAAAAAAATTTTTTCGTGGCACATTTTTGAATGTCACATTTATACCATTTATAGTATGTAAAATAACACAGCCTCATACCACTCTTCTGTGATGATTTTCTATTCATCATAAAAATCTTGAATTTTTTGCGTAGCTCGAAGATCTCTTAATACGTATGTGCAAGCCACTTTTTGCTATTAGACATTTAATGTTTAATGGTTAAATTGAAAAAAAAGCAAGGATGATTACGTATAGAAATGTAGGTACCTACCTACTTTACTATACATAAAGTGTTATGTTTTTTATTAAGCATATAACGATAAATTAATATCACCCCAAAATAATACTTTATTTGATTACGTAAGACCCGGATATTATTCACCGCCCACCTGGATTAATTCTTGAATAATATTCGGGTACATCTATATATAGTTTATCACTTTTCATATGGGATCCAAATATAGTACGTATCGGTTCCCACACAGAACCAAATTTAATTTAAAACATAAGACCCTAGCGCTAGGTACTGTATGCGACCCGTCAAAAAAAAAACCTGGGTTAACGATGTTATTTGGGACGACCCCAATCCACATGAACAGTGTCACATTAGATTATTTATTGCCTTATTGTTGATTGTTGGAACTACTCGATCAATTAGTTTTTGGAACGTCCCAAATACTATAGTCACCCTGCTAATCAACAAGTACCGGTACACTCGGTTGGAATCAACTCACAACTTTAATTCAAATCGTAATTAGTCTAGTCAAATCAATTAGAAGAACTTATACCGCAGACACTGACCTTCAACTCTCGAAGAACTTTGCTTAGAAGAAACGATATATCTACCATTTATTGTACCATATTAAATTAGTATTATCATTATTTTTCCCGATTTTTGATATTTTCATTTTCTATTATTTGTAGATTGTGATTAATCTCTAATCTTTCTATTCTAATTTGTCATTGAATCATGATTTTGGGATTAAATGTCTAATCACCCTTCATTCGTATTCGTGTCATCTTTATTAAGAACATTTGATCAAAATTTGATTTGATTTTGCGGAGCACTACTTCTAATTGTATTAAATAAAATGATTTAAGCTACAGATATTTCTACACCTCATTTTTGAGATCACTCTTTTTAAAACTTTGATCAAAGGTATTCCATATTTGATTCATCGATACTGTATACGTGGCTGTGGAGATATCAAAAATGGGGTGTGGAAATATCCATAGTCTTGTTTTATGATACATTATTGAATAAAACCATTATATATTTCATATTTCGCATCAGTGTTAATTTTTGATTAAAATTTACTGTGCAGATACCGCACAATTTTGAATTTTCATTTACAAATGTGTGCACCATTTATTATAAAATGTTAATTTTTTTTCCGCACATCAACTCAAAGAAATGTGCGTAAAATTTTGTTTCTGTCTACTTTGTATGCAATAATTATATAATATTATAGAAAAAAAAACTTTTTATGTACATACAATTGGTTTAACATGCATAAAGTTCACTGATATAATTGATATGACGATATACATTCATGCTCAACCAATAGAATAAGATCTCATGACTGCGCTATACGTCAACGATCAAATCTAAATACGTACAATGGGTACATTACTGACAATAATTGTCATGGCTGAAACTGGAAATGGCTGAAGCTGGGAATTTTAAATATTTTTAATACGTATGAAATTTGCAAAATTTTTTGGGGTGCATTTTTTTAGCTTAGAATTTAGGGTTAATTTTTATATATTAAAATGTATACCCATATTCCGTATTCTACCGTAAATAAGTAATACACCATCTATCCCATTTTTTTAAAAGTCATATTAACGGACATCGCAATGAGATCTTTAGTCAAGTTATTTCCGCTAATCTGGCATTTAAAAAAATGGGGTAGAGGGTGTGGTGCTTATTTAGGTAGAACACGGTAAGTGGATTTTAGTAGGATTTATATTTTTAAATCAAGGTCCCTAATTTCCAGCTTCAGTCATTTCAAGCTTCAGCCGCAACAATAATATATAAGACAATAATATATAAAAAGAATCAATTGTAATATATATCATACATACATTATCTCATTGGTTTGTTGTATTGGCCCTAATTTTCCAAGAATATTTCGTTAAAATAAAAAGATTAACACCCTGTTTATTATGTACCAACTCAATTTTCAAAGTCTAGCCAAAGTAACTAAAATTAGAATTAGAACGAGTTTGAGATTAATTTATGTCCATTGTTATAACAAAATTGCTCTCTCAACATTTTTATTAGTACCTTCAAGATAGGTTAGACTTCTGGTTTTTTTTTGTTTCGTAATCTACAATGTAAATCTCCCAAATAAGGAATGTGAAGATTATTACTGTTACCGCGAGGATCAAAATGATCGGCAAAATTAGTTTAATGTTTAATCAAAAAAAGAAATGGAGCAATTTAATTGGATTCGCACATTCGAATTTTAGCTTTTAGCACTAGTATTTTCAAATTATTATTAAAGATCGACTTAACATGGTAAACGAGTATGTAATAGTAATCCCCCTGATCATTACTGTATCTATCAGGATCATGATATGCATCAAATTCGGACAGCAAATTCCGCCAAATCTCTAATTCTCAAATTCTCTGCGAAATTTTCTTTCTGATTTTGGTTATTATTATCATGTCTTAATTAGGAGTACAAAGCTGATATTGTTTTATCTACTACAATAAATTTTTTTTATTTTTTTTTGATAACAATAATAATATTATCTTTCCAGCCTTTTACTTTACAATATGCATTAAAGCATTACGTTAATATGCATTACAGCACAACATTACGATTTACGGATTTTTGAGGTAAATAATACTGCAAGTTACCGTAACCGTATTCACATCAGTTATCGCTATAGGATAACCCACTTTTTATTAATAGGAAGACTTTCGTATGATTGGCTGCTTAAATCAAATTAATTTTACATTATTTATACAGTTTAAAGTACTTTTTTAACTACGAAGAATAAATAAAAAAGAAGTATATAGAAACTTTTATTAGGGTTGTAGGACTCCACTATTAAAAATAATCAAAATCATTTTTTATTTTAGAGAAGTTAGCATGGTAATAACTCAATTATGTCTATATTTAGGAAGTCGCTATCTCTAAACAAAAAGGGATTTTGATTATTTTTAATAGTGGAGTCCTACAACCCTAATAAAAGTTTCTATATACTTCTTTTTTTGTTTATTATTTGTGGTTTAAAAAGTACTTTAAACTGTATAAATAATGTAAAATTGATTTGATTTAAACTACCAATCATGCGAAAGTCTTCCTATGAACTTTTTATGTAAATATTCTTCTGTTTTACTCCGGACAAATAAAGTTATCATATTTAAATTACGTGATATGTACGTATGTGTAAATATATATATATATATATATTTAAATTTATTTTTATCAAGTCAATAAGTATAATAAAAGTTTTTAAATAAAATTATTTATTTTTAATTTTTTAATTACAAGATCATTTATGATAAATTTTGGTGCAATACATCATACGATATAAACTTGAATATTACTATAATTTAAATTTCAATGTTTATGAAAATATTACCATTACTTTCTAAATTGCATTTTTATACACTTGTGTAAACGGTCCAAGGTGTGTGATTATCCACTATAACATCATCAGTTAAGTGAGTAGTAGGAAAAGTTTTATGATTCGTAGCAAAATTACAATAAATTTTTCGATAGTAACTCTTTTTAAGTTTTAAATGTTCATTATTGATAGTAATCAATGTTTCCTGCGATAAAAAACTACCAGAACTATCGGAACTATCAGATTCTTCACCACTACTATCTTTTCTATTATCTTGTTTATTACCTTTTTTATTATTATCTTTTGCATTACCCAAAGATTCAATCACCGAAAAAATCGAAGAAATTTCCAAGATAGTTTTAAATAATAATTGGGAAATATAAATATTATGTTCATTAGGTTTGAATTCCCAAGTTTCAGATCTGACATCTCGTATTCTCACTGTATTACCGTTTGATTTAGCCGTGAAAATCAATGGAAATCTAACATCAACTTTTATAGTCACGTTATTCCATTTTTCATTTTTGGATATGGTTGTTGGTGGTAAAATATTTAATTTTTCAAGACCAGGTATAAATTTTGAAACTCGTGAAGAAGAAATTATATTATCTTCTTCACATTCAAATTTTTGAATCGTTGCTATCTTTAGACCTTGATGTAATCCACCAAAAATATCAATTAATCTCATACCTGGTAATTTATTTTCAACATTATGAATGAATGATCCTTCAGCATTATGATGAATTGAAGTACAAATAAATGGTGAAAGTAGTTCACAAGAACGATTTATCACAGCAGAGATTTTGGTTTTATCATGATTTTGGAAAAGAGCAGCGAATGTATATAAAGAAATCGCTGTAATATATGCTTGAAAATATCGGATATCGTTTATCGGCTTCGTAGAAATGAATGTATTCATTCCATTAATTACTAAAGACCAATCATTACGAGTCATTTTGGATTTGGTACACCAAATATTTAAAGCAAAGTTCATGTGTTTTAATGCTGAATCACTAATAGTTGTTGCCAATGATTCGAGTTCATATTTAATTTGGCGAAGCTCACTAATAAATATAGAATTTGCCCGTTCAACAGCTTTTCTATCAACTGTCTTGTCATCATATTTATGAACGGCAACATATTTAATTCCGTAAGCATTTTCTGTATTAAGATCCAAAGTTTCACGTTTCATGAGTTGAGTATTAAACTTTTTTAAGAAGAGAGCATATTGATAGAAATCATAGATAGCATCAATATCTGCTAAAGGTTGTTGAGATCTGAAACATGATAATGAACCGTATCCCACTCTACAGAGTTGTCTTGCTAATTTTGTAATAGAAAAGCAAGAATTTTGTAAATCTTCAGGCTTATAACATGGAACAGAATTCATTTCAAGAGGATCTTGACAATGTTTTTCATCGTTATATTTTTCATTAATGCATCGAGTGATAATCTCTTCTATGGCCGTTTCATAACCGAAAATGCATGATTTATTTTTTAATTTAATCGATTTAGGAAGAACAGCTGTCACATCTTGATCAGACTGAATAGATTTACTATTACCCATTTTGCGAATTGTTGAAATTTAATCGTTTTTCGTTTTATTCGTTTATTAATAAGTTTTCAAGATTTAACCGTTTATTAGTTTAAAAAAATCAGAGTTAGGAAAAAAGCTTTGAAGAAAATTTCAGACGGAAATTTCAGATAGTTTATATATTATATCAGTCGATCAATACAATTAGTCAATTGAATCCAAATTTGGGTAATCGTGTTTTCCCATGTAAATGTAATGTAATGTAAAGGTAATACAAATGCGTGTTTGATTTGTCCATTCAATTTATTTAATCCACTATTTACCGTTATAAATTAGGATTAGTAACACCTAGTACAATAAAAAACAATCAAGATTAAAGACAATCATCCAAGACTTACTTCAAAACGTTCGGGGTTCCTTTATGAATGTCACCAATATAAAACAAAAAAAGATTTTGATAAACAAAAAAGATTTTGATGTTTGTTTATAAACCAAGAATTGAACTTACCAAAAAAGAAATTCATTTTTATGAAAATTGTAATAATTATGAGTTTCGTTATATGAAGCTATTAGACATGTTTCCTAAAACGTCTAATAGATGATAATTATTAAGACCCCTAAATGCAACCCCTCTGAATGAAGAACCTCCCTAACGCCAAATGCAACCTTAAATTCTGCAAAAATATAGGGTGACCTTCAATATAACCTAACTGAGTGCATATTTAAAACACTAATCCAAATATATGCTTGACCTCATCAATGTGGTTTTCATATTGTTCTCGAATATTCATTTTCCACGGCCGAAGTTAGAACTTGGTAATGCTGAAAATGAGCCTATTTTAATAAAAAAAATTTTGGATGCATTTTTATTTATTCATTATTTATTTATTTAAATAAATTTAAAGTTTATAATAAAAAAGTATAAATTAATTTTTAATAGGGTTATATATTTTTAGACCTAGACCCTCGATTTTTTAGCTTCAATTTCAGCCGCGGCACATATTGTCAAATTTTTTTGATCTCTATTAACTACTGACTGTAGTTTGATAATGCAATCAAATCAATATACTGTACAAAAACTCGGTTGTAGACCTACATACATACGTACGTACAAAACACAAGATCCCTATTATAATAAATAAATATGGTTTTTTCAAAACCCCATATTTCTTATTATAAATGCCATGTATGTACGTACGTATGTACCTTAAAAAACTTTTCGCCCGAAGCGCAGCGAGGACCTTTACATACGAATGCATATCTATGCAGGCTGTTGAAAAAACCAATGAAATTCGAGAGATGATGGGTCCCGTGAAAGATCTGCAATGAGAATAACAATTATAATAGTATATCAGATTCAAATTTCCTAGTAATATAAACTTTCTGCTGTGTACTATACTACAGGTTAATTATTATAGTTTTTAAAAATCGGTGAAGTGTAACGGACCCGGGTCTTGTATACTATCATACTTCTTTAAAAAGTAACTATAATTATTAACCAAATTAATGATGATTTAATATTGGCTTATTAAGGAAATGAAAAAAAGGTTCGGTTTAAAAAGTGTACGTACAGTACATACGTACTTACCCGAATTTCTTAATAAAATTTAAAAGTTAGGTTAAGACAAATTCCTGTTTATCCAGATATAATTTAAATTAAAGTTTAATTCTGATGTACGTAGCTTTCTAAAATCTAAAATATCACCTTTAGACTCGATATAGTCATTAAGAATAAAAAGCCTCATTTGAGTATTAACTTCATTTTTCATACTAATATTTTCGCTTTGTTAGAAAGGTGTCTCAATAATCTTTTATTTTTATTTTATTTTTTTGTAAAGTTCCCAATTATGGACTGTTCTTGAGTGATAAGTCTGATATTTTCTTTTCTCAGTGCTGTTTAAAACCTGTCACCTCGTACAAGCAATCAGAAAATGTGTATGTATGTACATACGTCTACGTACGTATGTATGCCAAGATACCAAAAATCGGTGTTGCATATAGTACTTAGTATAGTCAGAAATCCGAAAGAGGTTATGTAGGATATGTAAAATTTAAAAAAAAGCAACATTCAAATTTTTTCTACGAAATTATTATGTAAAAGGCTATATTAATTTATACGATTTTACATACGTAATTTTTTACGAATATTTTATGCATTCTACGAACCTTTGGTGATATTACACAAAAACCAACATATATCTATATAATTATATAAGTTTATATATTTACTATTAAGATTTAGTCCTTTTTTAAAATCTGATATTTTGATTTTTGTATTTTATTTTATAATTAAACTAGCCTTTTTGAGATTAAAATTTTTTATTCAGTATTATAGAACACACGAGTTCACGGCCAAAAGCCTTAAAGGAGTTATCTTATATTAGAGAGTACAAATAGTCACATGTACACTTTTAGTGTCTAATTTAAGTAGTTGTTTATATGTTTTACATTGGCTGTCATATCTGCAACTCAATTATAGGTATTGCTTATTTAAATCTTCTGTATTGCAATTCTTATTATATTATTAAAACATTTCTAATACATATATCAGTTGAAAAGGTTTAAATATTTATCTGTATCTTAGGATATTTATCTTATTTTATATATATAGTTTATTTTTAAAACATTCTTACTAGAATCTTTTATGACCTATTTTATAATTAATCTAGTTTTCAATTTCAGTATTTTTTTTTATAATTTTACTAGTATATTGTTTATTTTTACAAGTTTTCTTATACCATCAATTTAATTAGTCTTGCATGATACAATTTCACACTTAAATTAACTGATAATCAAATTAGTAAATCTTTTATCTAAAGGTTTTTAATTGTATAAATCAAATATATTGTTTATAATAAAGCATTTTCTAAATTTATTAAAAGTTTTGACTTGATTTGTTGCACAATAAATATTATTATTTTTGTAGTTTTATTTTGTTCTATTTTAAATATTTAGATATTTTTTTATATAATTTGATAGATCTTTTTTTTTTTTTTTTTTTGTTAAAAATCATACTTGTGGCAATACTTTATTGACTTTTATTAGATTAGCTATTACAATTATTTTTACAGAGATGAAAGTATAACTAGTCATGCATATAACTTTTGGTTGCCTATTTAAGTAGTCTGCCCTAAGGTTCTACACTAGATGCCATATCTATAATCTACTAAAAAATTATCTATTTAAACCTTCTGATCATCTACCCTGTTATGATGTAATTCCAACTTACCTCCTATATATACCTAATTAGTATACTGTCTAAGCAGTATAATACTTATCCTTTTTGTACTGATTCTCAAGTCATTACACATTTTAGAGTATATCACCTGCTAGTAAGATAAAAGAAGCCTTCTGTTGTTAACTATTTATTTACTTTTAGAACACTAACAAGAGCTACCCTTACAGAGTTCACCCAGACCCTGGCATTAACTTTACAGCATATTCCTATTACTTTTAGTACACTTCTGCTTTGACCTCAGACTTTCAATTCAGATAGCCTAGAAGAACTATGACCTGTTCTTGATATATTAAGACTAGCTTAATATTTTTTTTCTCTGGTCTGAAATCTGGTAGCCTGGTTAATAATATTCCTTATTTAAAGTTCTTGCCTGCTTAATTTCTCTATATTGGTATCTATTTCCTAGATCTAGCCTTTACAGTATTATTATCAAAGATCTGTATTACTTCTCTATTCAGAATTTCTAAATGAGCTTCAGTTTCTCAGTTCTACAGATTTACATGGCCCAAAAACTTATTTTAGATTTGCACTACCTGGTACCAGTTTGTATTCTTCTGTATAATCAAGGTTATACAGATGCCCCAGACCTGTCAGTCATATTAGTGTGATCATGGTTACTGATATTCTATCTCAGCTGATCAATAGAATGCTATTGCTATAATACTATTTATATATTATATAGGCGATTATCCAAATTTCACCATTAGTAAATTTTGAACTTACAACCTACTACTTAAAAGTATAACAACTTATTCACTTTACTAAGTCACCATATCTTTAATTTGACAGATCTAGTTTTGTTTGATTATTAGTTATATTTATATTTTTACTATATTATTTATATTTTAATATTAATTATAAGATGAATCTAATTGTAATAACCTATTATACATTTATTTGTAACAACTTAATAGTACAACTAATAAAAATAATCAAAACTTCATATAATATAAGCTATAACTCTAACTACTATTAGCTAATCTAAGGTTGTTATATATAACAGTTTGTTATAAAAACTTTTATTCTAATTTATAAGCTTAATAGTTTGTAATGTAGTATATTTTTTTAAGAGTCAAATTGTGTTAACTAATAGTTTGAGCATTTTAATTAATGTTGTAATGTTGTATTTTTTTATTTATTTTGAGTTTTCTAATAGTCTAAGTTATTTTATCAAATTAATTATCACTATTTATAAAATAAAATATACTAAATCTATATATTAAAATAATTTATCTAATAAATTTTTTAACTTTTTAATTATTAGTAATCAGATATTCAAATTTTGTTTTAATTTTGATTTTGGTTATGTTTGTAGATATTTTTAGTTTGTATTTGATATATTTATTTAATATAATATTAAATATAAAATATTTTTTAAATATTTTAATTATTATTTTTATTGTTAAAAAAAATTTTAAAAATTATAAATAGGTATTTAACTCTTTTATTAGCTTATTATATGTTGTAAATAAGCTTAGTTTTGAGGTTAATATATTAAAATATATATTTAAAATTCTGTTAAAATTGTAAATTTTAGAAGGTTATGTTTGTAATTACTAGTTTCTAAAGCTTTTTCTTATTTGTAATTAGAAACAGATTTTTAACATTAAAATAAAGTTCTTTAAAATTTTTTAAAAAATTTTTTTATTTCAAAATAGTCTTCTAATAGAGTATCAAATTTGTATATTTTATAAAAAGCAATTATTATAATTAGTAAATTGTAAAAAAAATATTGTATATATTTTTTTATATTTTATAAGAATAGTTTAAGAATATTATTTAATTATTGTTTAAT